TTATTTGAATCGTCTATATTTTTAGTCAGCTTTAGAATACTGTAGCTCATTTGTCAGACTTTATAAACCGATCTTAACTGAACAGCTTAACAAATAAAAACATTCAATTAATATTTCCGCTCAGGCATTCAAGCAATCTCCGTGGAACGACATAAGATATATGGAAATAGCAAAAAGTGTATTCACTTGGCAAGTCAACCTTACGAAAAAAAAATAAACAAGAAAAAAAGCAAATCATTGCAAATTTCTGAAATTTCTAGAGAAACGATAAACAAAAACCGATTACTGACATTGGCTGTCAGCCAGTGACAGCCATAAAATTGTTAATAAATCAATCAGTTTGTTGAGTTAGATAAATAAATATATACAAATATCAGATATAAGAACTTGAAGATCTCATTTGCATAGCAGTCCCAAATCATGATATCCAAATGGCTACAGGGTAAAGCGAACTGCAGGCAGTCGGCGAAACCCTCACTAGAAGGTTTTCATTGCATAAACAATGACTCATAGAACTCTGAAAAAAAAAAACAAAACTGAAGTGCTATCAACAGCAGCGAATATTAACGATGTAATAAATATGAAGCTAAATAGACAAGTAGATGATAATAGGCAATTCCTAGGAAATGCAGTGACCTCACATGCTCTAGGTGCTCAGCTAAAACTCTATTCTGTGCTCTCTTCCAGCTGACCGATGAAGAATTGGAGCTCGAGAGACAGCAGAATGAGAATGCGAAATATTCGTTTGGTACGAAGGTCGACGATGAAATCAACGATGGCGCATTTGAACGTACGGAGACACGCGATGGTACAAAGGTGACTGGAAAGTACAGCTACAGCGATGGTTACGTGAGGCGTACGGTGGAATATGAGGCCGATGAGAATGGATATCGTGTGGTTAAGGAGGATATGGAAGTGATCGGCGATGGCCCTCAGTTCAATCCGGATGGACAAGCCGATATCGCCGGCTCCCTCATCGGCCAGTACTCGATCAAGTTGGACAACAGCGACACAAAGCAGCACTACAAGGACATTAGGCAGTAATGCGGCCGCAGCATAGTATTCTCAGAACGGATGATTTCTAACATTTAGAAATGCACTGAATACAATTGTGAATCAATCAACCATTGTGGTTAATTCTAATGTAATAAAGTCAAGTAAATCAAAAACTAAACCATATAGACTTTGCTAGTTGGCAATCTTTATTATTATTCGATTGGATGCTTCGTTGCAGTCTTTATGGATTACATGTTCATTTCTTCTGGTAGGCCTTGCGATTCCTGTTGGCATTGAGATCGATTAGAATAATTTCGTAATAATGGTGATTGTCCTCCCCAACGATCCACTGCGCATTGACCAGACGTAATGCGTTAATTGGACGGCGAATGCGCTCCTCAATGATGCGCTGCAGTATTGGAAAGTGACGCCGAGTGTTGCCAAGGCTACGCGAACATTTATGATTCTTGGCGTGCGCTGCATGCCTACGGGCTCCACGAATTCGAATCCGGAAGACGACATGGGAGCTATCATCCAAAGTCTTCTGTGGATAACACAGTCCGTGCGCACACCTCAGCTTCAGCGACGGGGTGCATAGCCAAACGCGAATCCGTATATAGTAACGCATAATTCAGCTGCTTCTTTCACTAAGTTGAATAGCAAATAAATTGAATCGAAATAACGTTAAAATTAATGCAAAAGCAAACCTTTTTTTTATAAAAGTTGAAAAAAAAAGCACAATTTTATTTTGTAATATTTGTTGACTCGTCAGATGCTCACAAGCGACTGAATTATTTGTAAAATTTACTAAAAGACATTCACCCAGGATTCGGCAGAAATTCAAAGCCTACTTTGATTTAGGAAAATATCACAAAAAATACAGTGTGCTGCAGAAGTAATCAAACAATATACTTTTGCTCTAATATCTTTTTGTATTTACATTTCAATTTGCTGTTCTGCTTGGGAAATTTCTTTAGTTATTTCAAATGAAAAAAAAAAATATATATATAAATATATATATAAATATATATATATATATAAACAAAAAATATATAAAAAAAAAATTATACAAAAAATATATAACAAAAATAAATAAAATATATTTTTATTGTAATTTTTAATGAAAATTATTATTATTTTTTTTTTATGAACAACTTTTGTTTGTCTTGTAAGAATTGTTTTTTTTTAATAGATTTCATGTTTATTATTTAAATATATATATATTTTTTTATTAAATACAGTGTGTTTTTAGGCTTGTGAATATTGCTTATTCAATATATTAATATTTATATACGGGTCCGTCCGTGATATCTTCTATCAATCTTTCCGAAGCTTCGGAAAAGCGTTCTCATATTCCTAGGAATATTGTACTTAAGGACTTCAAGAACTCTAAGGTTTTCTGACCAAAGCTCGAGACTTGGAAAATATCATATAAATAAATCTAGATCGGTTAAATCCTGTGATCTAGGAAACGATATATAAGGCGACTGGGAAACTGTACCTTTATTTATTACTCTGCATTCTTGGCCTTTCGCTTTATACTGTACCTCCTCTACAATTGCTAGCTAAAGTCTTAATGCAACAAAAATAGGAAAAGAGAGAGAGAGAGAGACAGTAATAATAAATCCACAAGCTTGATTTCCGACTATAATTTAAAGCTAACTTTTATTTTAAATTATTTAGCAATATTGTTTGACAATTTGGGATTCGTAAAGCATATGGGGAAACATATATGTATATCGCAGAATTAATACAGTTATAGCACACTGACTAAACATCTTCCTGCACGCACTCCATCGAGTTGTTCGCCGACTGCGTGATGATCAGCGCCTTCTCCGAATCGGTCAGATTGATGAATTTATGCTTAGACTTGAGCTCCTGCTGTATGGATGAGAGTAGATCTGGAGAGCCGCGACCCGGCTTCAAGATTAGGCTATCCCGATTGGGATTGCCCGCCTGCTGTACGGCCTCGGCACAGCCGGTCACATCCATGGTTGGCTCCACGATCGTCTCCATCTGCAGGGATTGGCGCTTGCGGCGCACCCGCTTCGAGCCGCGTGTGATGAGGACAACAGCGGGCGATTCGTAGGGCAGCGCCTGGATGACCGTTTGCAGGAGTTTTGGAGGCGTCTCGGGTGTCTTGGGGTTGCCAATGACAACGTCTGCCTGCAGAGCGCTACGGGCGCGCTCTCGCTCCTCTTCCTCCCGCTCGCGGGCCGCATTCTTGCGCATCAGCTGACGGGCGCGCTTCTTGAGAATCGCCTGGGCATTGGGATAGTAGGCGATGACCTCGTTCAGGTCCGACTTGGACAGCACAAAGAGATTGGAGTAGCCCTTGGAGCGCACATCGGCTGTGCGACGATCGGCGCCATTAATGCCCAGCAGACTGATCTCTCCGAAGACGGAGCCCTCTGTGAGGGTGGCCAGGACAACATCGCTGCTGGGGCCGCCCATGACCTGGACCTGTCCCAGCTTCACAATGTACATCTCGCGACCCACCTCACCCTTGCGGCACACAAAATCGCCCGGCAGGAAGGTAACGGCCCGCAGCTTCAGCACCAAATCCCTCAGCAGCGCCTCCTCACAGTCAGCGAAGAGCTGAACCTTGGACAAGGTTTGGATGTGCACCGAGATGGCAATGTCCGTCTTCAGATTGATGGGCAGGGCATCCAAGATGTTGGACTCGTCTAGGATGAAATCGAAAAAGATTACTGCTATAATAATTGCGAATAGAAAACATCTCTAGGTCTCACCCAACGTGCGCTGCTGCTCCCAGGTGAATTGAAACCACATTTTGACACGCGACTGCACCTCCTTGGAGAGATTCAGTCGTCTCATATACTCAAGCGTCTCGTCCTCCAGCTGACGATACTCGTGCTTGTTGCGTGTCGCCGTCGAAATGATATCCCTGATCTGGCCAATGAGCAGGGCGAACACAAAGACGCCCATTAGCCAGGCGACCGTCATGAAAACATATTCGCCCTGACGTTCCGGCTTCGGATTCTTGCCAATCGACGTCGCCGTCTTGGTGGCAAAGGCAAAGCACCTCACATAGGGATGTCCCTTGCCGCTGAATACCCAACGATTCTGGCCCAGGCCCTGATAGTCGCTGTAGGCATAATACAGAGCGGCCGTTATGTGGATCATATAGAGCATGTAGGTCAGCGTCTTGGCCACGCGCACCTGCAAGGGTAGGGCAGAGCTATTAGATTTGATGTGTTTACCTAAGGATAAATCGCAGCAACTTACGAAATGTGGCGAGGAAATGACCCGATCTAAGAGTCGAAAAACCTCCCAGAAACTCTGTATCTTGAAGAAACGCGGAAAACGCAACCAAACAGCGCCAGTGCCGTACTTTAAATAGAAGAGCTCCAGCGGCAGCAAGGCGAGCAGATCCAACTGTGAAGATTACTCAAGTGGATGAATATTTTACGTAATTATAGATTTGCATATAGGACAACTAGGAAACGAAACTCAAGTCCTTAGCTCTTATGGATTATGAGATCGAAGCGTTCATCGTCCATCGAATATTATAATCTGATTTCCAATATGCAATGAGCTCATACCAAATGAATAAGACAAATCGAATCCAATTCCGCTTTACCCACCTTAAACTGCAGCTTCCTCATATAGTTCTTGCGCGTTAGATTCTTGTTCTTGACCCAGAAGCCCTCGAAGAGGTACATAACGCGATGCTTGAAGAAAACCACGTCCAGCAGGTAAATAATATCCGCACAGAAGTCGCAGGCGAGCCAAATGTTTGTGTTCGCCTTGGTCTGGAAGGGAAACGAGGCGCGCAGTGGTATGACCCAGGCATTGTAGAGGAACGACAAGGAGACCACACAGAGCCACGAGATGTAGATCTTGCCCTGCGGATCCAGGGTGCGCTCGTCGTTGTTGGCGCCGCACAGGCTCGAGCAGAGCCAGACGTTGGAGCGCGGCGTGTCCGCCTCGAAGAGACGTCCGCGATGCGGCGATTGGCCGGCGGGCACCAGGCGCACCTTGTGCTCGGGCGAGGGATGCAAGCTCTTGGTGCTCGCGTGCAGCGCTGCCTGCGTCGGCGGCGGTGTGGGCGAGCTGGCGCTGCTGGACGAGGGCGTCGGCGGCAGCTCGATGCGCGACTTCACCTTGTTGGCGCGCGCCGTGAAGCGGCGCACCAAGTGACGCACCTGATCCCGCAGAAACTGCTGGCCCTGGGAGTCGAGGCTGCCAGCGCTGCTGGGTCGATGCGGCTCCTCGACAACGGCAACGATTTCGCTCTCGTTGAGCGAGGAGGAGCGAGTCGTTCTCATATTGCGATCGTTGTTCTGCTGCTCCGGCGACTCATTGTAACAGATCTGCACGTCCTTCTCATCCTCGTCCTCCTCGATGGGCTGCGAGCTGCTGTCACACTGATCCGGCTCCGGCGGCGGATCGAGCAGCACCTGGCCCGTGGCACTGCGCAGCTCAGCCTCACGCTGAGCGACCACCGGATCCGGCTCGTCCACGGCGCCCGGCAGCGGCGTCAGCTCCACGTACTGCGGCTGCAGCACGCGCCGCACGCTGTCCGGACTGACCAGCGGCTTCTCGTGCTTCAGTATGTGCTTGACCAGCGCATGGGTGCTCTCGATGTTGTTGATCTGCCCGGAGCGCTCGGCATCCACGCAGCCGATGCGTCCGTTGCGAAAGTACAGGCGCGACTTATAGAAGCGTGGACTGTGCGGCCGCTGACGGCGCTGGGGCGCCTTGTAGGCGTTGATCTTGAAGCAAATGCGCTTGGCCGGGCTGGGTGTCTTGTTCTCCTTGTCGCGCCTGCGCTGGCTGCTGGCCAACTCCTGCTCCTTTTCGCGCTGCATTAGCTGCTCCGTGGCGCTGACAAACTGCTCGATCTCCTTGATATCCTTGGTGATCTCCTCCAGGCTGCGACGCACATTCGCCTCCTTCTCGCCAGGCGTGGAGTAGCGACGCTGCGGCTCCGGCCGTGTATTAATCACATTCCGCATGAACGCATGCCGCTCCAGCGTCTCGCAGAAGCGCGGCGACGCCGGCCGCGCCACCTGGCCCGGCAACGTGGCCATCCGTTTCAGTGGAGTGTGTGCCCGTGGCACGTGGAACTCGTCGTAGGCAAAGTTCTCCAAGATGTTCGGCGATGACTTCAGCAGCGCTGCACTGGCCTCCGTATCGAGCTGCGCGCTGCGCTGATTCAACTGCGAATGAAACGAACTTGAGTGCGGCGCTCTAGCAACTGGCCCCACACGGCACAGCCAAACCACCTTGGCGTCGTACGACACGCAAATTCAATAAAAGCTAAAACGAACAGAAAAATACAAAAAAAAAACGAAAACAAACAAAGTACGTCTGTGCCTTGCATGCTAATTGCCCCGGGACGCCCGCACAAACCCGTCGAATCGAATTTAATTGAGCGAGCGCAACCCCAAGCGACGCCTCAGCCTCAACGGACCATTAGGCAAACGCACTTGGAGTGTTTTCATTCCATTGGTCAGCGAAGGACGTTCAATCAACTCCAAACTAGGCATAAATATTAAATAGAACTTCTTTTTTTGATATAAAAACTTCTAAAAAGTACGGAAAATCCTTGTTCTGGATTACCATTGAGGGAGACTTGAACTGGTGTAACGCGAAATTATTCAATTATTATTTTATTATAAGGATAAAGTTTAAGGGATTGCTTCATCAATTTTAAGCCCAGACTGGATCGAATAGATGCTGTGGTTGCTTATGTCCCAGCCTTCTCGCAGTGCCAGCAGATCTTTAAGCTGCAGCAGCTAGACGCCTAGCCAGCTAGCTATTTGGAGTCGAATTTAGACTCTCGGAGTATTTTACTAACTACCTTTTGGATGCTAACTCTATTTTCTATACCCTAAACCCATTGTTTGATATATCAGTCTCGCCAGGGTAATCGTCTAAGTCTAAAGTCTTAAC